CACCTAAGATACCTTGGGAAAATGAACATCGTGATGAGCAGTTATTTACCCATATAGTGCCTTTCTTAGTAGCATAATGTATTGCACCCAGGCCTCATAACATCCTCCTGAAGAAAGGAAGTGGCAGAGAGTGTTAAAACGTTACTGGTTAATCATGGGGAAACTGAAGCATGGATAGGTTTATGAGGCTTGAGCAGAGTTACACAATGCCTTAGTGTCTGGCCTGGGAATGAGGCCTGAGTTTGCCGCTTGCTGTCAGGGCTGCCGACAGCATTGTGTTTTGCATTGTATGACAGTGAAAAGGGCTTACTCTTAACAATGCAAGAGCTGCTGTAGGAGACACATACAATGAACTTTGGTACAGTATAGTCTAGAGGCCAAAATGAGTAATTTTAAGTAAATTGACTATAGGATCCAAAGCTTCATTAAGTTTTAAAACAAAAAACAAATGAAAACTCTTTACAGTTTTTAGGAACTGACTCAGAAAACATGACCATTCCTTCCCCATTGGAAGTAGCATACTCTTAAAAGTTTTATCTTGTTGACTCAAAATCTGACACTATTCCTGTTACCCATAGGATGATTTATTCCGTCATTTCAAATACATGTTGATTTCTAAGAGTCTGTGATTTATTTAGAAGATTTTGCCTTGTAATAACTATCAATCTGGATTTTAAGTTCCATAGCCTGTGGTTTTGTGGAGAGGCTTTTGTTTTATTCAGTTTTGGTTTGGGTTCTTATAGAACAACTGAAACTACAGAGCCTGGACTTTGAGAAAGAGCTTGGGGAGGTGCGGGGGGAGATGTCACGTTGGATGTCTTTATGTCATTCAGTTATATGATTGAAACCATGGGACTGGAGATGACATCACTGGTGAGAATATAAAAAGGGAAGAGAAGCCAGACTCAGTGGCTCACGCCTGTAATCTCAGCACTTTGGGAAGCTGAAGTGAGTGGATCGCCTGAGCTCAGGAGTTGGAGAGCAGCCTGAGCAACATGGTGAAACCCCATCTCTACAAATACAAAAATTAGCTGGGTGCAGTGGTGCACACTTGTAATCCCAGCTACTCAGGAGGCTGAGGTGGGAGGATTGCTTGAGCCTGGGATTTGGAGGTTGCAGTGAGTGGAGATTGCTCCACTGCACTCCGTCCTGGCCGACAGAGAGAGATCGTTTTGAGAAAAAGAGAAGAGAAGGCTGGGCGTGGTGGCTCACGCCTGTAATCCCAGCACTTTAGGAGGCTGAGGTGGGTGGATCCCCTGAGGTCGGGAGTTTGAGACCAGCCTGGCCAACATGGTGAAACCCCGTCTCTACTAAAAATACAAAAATTAGCCAGGCGTCGTGGCGCATACCTGTAATCCCAGCTACTCAGGAAGCTGAGGCATGAGAATCAGTTGAACCCGGGAGGTGGAGGTTGCTGTGAGCTGAGATTGTGCCATTGCACTCCAGCCCAGGCACCGGTCAACAAGAGCAAAACTCCATCTGGAGAAAAGAAAAAAAGAGAAGAGAAAAGACAGTGGAGTAGAATATCACTGCTATCATTATGAAATCATCTTTTATGTCAGAAGTGCCTTAGGTGATCTAGAATAAACAGGTGAAATAGAATGGAGTTGGCTACAAAGTTTTTATACTCTGGATTTTAAAAAGAACATGAAGATGAAATTCTGGAGTGTTTGGCAAAAATATGAGTGATAATGTCATGAATAATTTAAGCAGGATGCTCTAGCAATCAGTCACATACAGTTTCATTCGATATTTTAAGATTTATGATAGTCAGGCCAGCCCTCCTCCAGGAGATAGTCCAGAGGAAGGAGCTGAGTGAGAATGAGGGCCTCTAGAGCAGGAATGGTATCTCTTCTCCTTGAACCCCAAACAAGACCAAAGCAGCCCAGTAAAAGAAACTGTGTGACTAGTTTTATTGTTTGTCCTAATTGAATGTGGAAGACCTTTTCTAAGTCTGAACAGCTGCTAGCCAGTGGCCATCTTTGAGGGAATAGATACATACATAAATAAACCTATCTCTGAGAAAAACTCTCATGCTGAGTCTGGGAGACAGACTTTATAAAAAAGCTTGTAAAAGTCAGACAGAATCAGCCAGCCTTCATATGAATCCACAACACGATGTGTTGGCGTCTAGAATGCTCTTAGTAGTTATAGTCATTAATCTTGTGGGAGAGGGTGTGCTGGAACTAAAGGAAGGTCAGAGAAGAACATCTCATAGGATGAAGAGAGACTGAAATAAGTAGGACTCCTCAGGCTTGAAAAGACTGAGAGGAAATACAATTAACGTGAATAAACCCACGAAGAATATGGGTCATAGAATTGTTTACCAGAAGCAGGCAGAACCTCTTGAAAATGGAGGAAAAGTGAATCTAGGACAAAAAGAAGCTCTAATTTACCAAGAAAGTTGATCGTGTACACCAAAACCACTATTTAGGGAACTAGGCTAACTAATGGCATTGAAGTAAAGTGAAAAAGTCAAGGGTTTCTAATTTTGACATTATTTTCTTGAAGCGTGGAGGGCCCAGAGAGCACAGATCAAGCATCCTATTAGTCTCTATGTTTTCTTTTTTCTTTGCTTAGGTAAAATTTAAGTGTCGTTCATTCTTCATTCAACAATTATCTGCTGAGGGTAGATTCTATGCCATATTCTCTGCTAGACACTGGGGGTACTGAGATGAAGGGGAACAGACATGGTTCTTACAGGCTGGTGACTAATAAGAAACTACAATTGTCTGTGTAATGAATTTACAAAAGCCCTGTGGAGCTTGACGTGAATTGCTAACACAATCTTAGGATTGGAGGAGACTGCCCTGAGGACTGGATGATTAAGTTGAAACCTAAAATTGATGAGGTGTTGGCTAAGTCCAGAATAGGGGAAAGAGGGAACCGCATATTAGATGCCTCAGTTGAGGTAAGAGAGGGAATGGCTGGAGGATCTAGGGGAGTGAGGGCAATGAGGCTTGTGAGCTTGGCTGGGGCATATCATGGAGTGTGGGGTAGACCATGGTAAGGGTTTGGGCTGGAGAGCTGGGCAAAGTCACTGGGATGGCTTAAGCACGTATGGTCAGATTTTCTGTTTATAAGCAATCCAGTGGCTGCAGTGTGGAGAATAGGGGGCACAAGCGCAAATATACTGGACCTAGTGGGAGGATATTGATGTTGTCCAGGTGATGATGGCCTGGGCTGGACAGAAGTGGACAGATCCTAGAGCTACTTCAAAGGTCATATGAACTGGATTTGTTGATTAGATGTGAGAAATGAGGGAGAGAGATAATCAAGCTTCATTTACGAGAGTATGACAGCCAATTAAGATTCAGATTTTATCTAAGTGAGATGAATCAACAGACTTTTTTATAGGTCTCTTCTCTCATGATCTCCAGATGACCCAGAAGTGAGTAGATCTGCCTTCTTTCCTCCCTGTTTCCCCCTTTCCCTCTTTCTCTCATGAATCATTCAGGGTCTAAATGTTTCGGGCTCTATAAGCTGGCACATCGTTGGCCCTTATGGATAAGTAGAAAGATCAAAAGCTGCACAAATGATACCCTGTCTCCCAAATCCTCTTGCCTGCCTTCCTTCCTTCCTTCCTTCCTTCCTTCCTTCCTTCCTTCCTTCCTTCCTTCCTTCCTTCCTTCATTCCTTTCCTTTCCTTTCCTTCCTTTCCTTTCCTTTCTTTCCTTTCTTTCCTTTGTTTCTTTCCTTGCTTTCCTTGCTTTTTCTGAGATGGAGTCTCACTCTTGTTGCCCATGCTGGAGTGCAGTGGTGTGACCTTGGTTCACTGCAACCTCTGCCACCCAGATTCAAGTGATTCTCCTGCCTCAGTCCCCTGAGTAGCTGGGATTATAGGCGCCTGCCACCATGCCTGGCTAATTTTTTTTTTTTTTTGTATTTTTAGTACAGACGCGGTTTCACCACATTGGCCAGACTGGTCCCAAAGTGCTGGTATTACAGGCGTGAGCCACCGTGCCTGGCCCAGATCCCCTTGTCTTTAACTCTTGCAGAGCAAACAGGTTTGTGCAGTGCACAAACTATACTACAGTTCATAGTACCCTGGTTGGTTGACCTGAAACAGAATTTAACAAAGGCCAGAAAGGCAATGGTATATACAGAGACTGTATTTAATGACTTTAAAAATCTTTGTATTTTGAAATAATAGCAGTGGTAAGACTAGAATAAGGAATTTTCCTCTGTTCTCTTCACTCAGCATCACTAGTCATTAACATTTTGCCATGTTGACTTTATCACTGTCCTCACCAGATAAAGATGGAGTTGGAGATTTAGAATTTTTCTGAGCCAGTTAATTTTGGACATCAAGACCCTTCACCTCTAAATACTTAGAGGTATTATAAATAATTAGAATATTTTCTCAGAACAATGATTTTTCTTACATAACCACAGTACATTGATTAAATTCAGGAAATTTAACCTTATACAGTACGCTTATCTAATATGCAGTCTATATTCAGTGTTCACTTATTGTCTCAATAATGTCATTTATGGCTTTTTTTTTTTTTCCTTCTTGATCTAGGATCCAGTCCAAGATGTACTGCATTTTTATTATGTCTTTTTAGTCTTCTTTAACGTGGAACAGTTCCTCAGTCTTTCTTTGACTTTTAAGACGTTGGTATTTTGGAGGAGAACAGCCCAGTTGCCTTATGGAATACTCCTTAGATTGGCTTTATCTGGTTTCCTCATGCTTAGATTCAGATTGTGTGGTTTTGGCAGGAAAGCTGTGGGATGATGTCATGCTTTTTGCAGTGCACCTGCCATAGCAGGAAGGCAGCCATGAAGTAGAAAAACTTTTCATAACTAAGGATGTTAACTTTGATCACTTGGCTAGAGTGGTGTCTCTAGGTTTCACTGTTCTAAAGTTACCATTTTCTTCCTTATAGGTAATAGTTTATTCAATTACTTTTTAATACTTAGTCAGTCATTGTAAATGTGACTAAGGTTTATTTCCACACTCTCATTTAAAGGAACATTTTCCCCCCTTCTTTTGGCAGTGTTTTAGAGCACTTTGCTGCAAGGGACCACCACCTGCACGACCAGAATATGACCTGGTTTGCATAGGCCTCACAGGCTCTGGCAAAACCAGTCTGTTGTCCAAACTCTGCAGTGAAAGCCCCGAGAACGTCGTGTCGACCACAGGTGGGTACTGTGCTGGGGTTCTGTCCCTTCTTCTTTCTCATCCCAAGATGTCCTGGTTTCCTGTGCAATTTATGTGGTTTCTCCCCTCCCTTCTACTTATAGTTTAATGCTTTAGTCAGTTTATTAATTTTAAACACTATCTCTTTTTCAAAAAAGATTTGAAATGGATTTAATAGCATTAAACTGCTGTATCCTGCATCCCTCTAGCAGGTCATTTCAGTGGCACTAAATAAATGAAGCTTGGGAAAATATTAATACAAATGAATCCTGAAATCTGGAACTCTGATATATGACAAAATGGATTCATCTTGGGTCCGTGGAGTACTTTCCTTCCTTGAAGTGTCACTCCAGCCTATGTTTCTTGGCCACACACTCCCTGAACAGTAAACTGATGTAGTCTGAATTTTCTTCCCTCGTCATTTTTCACCTGGAGGAAAGTCAGTGCAAGAGATTATCCATCAGCCTTTCCCTATTGCTTCCTGATGGAACCAAGCAAAGTCAGTCTAGGGCACTGGTTCTCAATCAGGGGAGATTATGCCTCTGAGGGGGACATTTTGGAGACATTTGTGGGCAGGGGTATTACTGGCTTCTGGTGGATAGAGGCCAGTGGTGCTACTAAACATCCTACAATGCGCAGGGTAGCCCCCAAAGAAAAGAGTTATCAGGCCCAAAATGTTTTTGGTGTCAAGTTATTAGTGAGAAATCCTGGCTAGGGTTTTTTTTTTTTTTTTTTTTAGTAGAGATGGTGTTTCTCCGTGTTAGCCAGGATGGTCTCGATCTCCTGACCTTGTGATCCGCCCGTCTCGGCCTCCCAAAGTGCTGGGATTACAGGCTTGAGCCACCGC